CAAAAATGATATGATGTATAAGAAGTCAATAATTCCTACCATCACTTGCGTTTTTTAAGCAATGCGTTAGCAAAATTATATTTTTTCAATCTTTTGGTCGACTTTGTTGGCCTTATGATTTCCTAGTTCTTCAACACAACGCAAATTTTGATAATTTACCTTGATGTTGAAATTATAAGAAGCCAAGAATAACTACAATCATTGATGTTTGTTTAGAAATACGTTGATGACTTTATGTGTTTTATTTTTTCCATCTTTTGCTTAAATTTGTTGGCGATTTGATTCTTAATCTTGTGTTAGACTTTGCTGGCGATCTAAAATTTCCAATCTCCAACACTACACAAATCTAGAACAACATCTTGATAATATCATTTTTTGAAAACATATTCAACATATTATTTACTTAATTTTCTCTAAAATATTTTTTCTCTGCAAACGTTATGAGTTTTTGCACACACTTAAGTTGTAAAATATTTTTATTGTAATGTTTCCACGTATTTGTAGTGATGATGGCTAATAATGCCTAATTTTATATGAGATTTGTGTCCAAATTCCATGATAGTAGACAATTTAAGCATGTGTCAAATCATGACATTCTATTTTCTAAGTTTATAGATATCAAATATTCAATAAAATATTGTTAAAATTTTATTTTTTTATTCAAAATATGTTTAACATTATTTTATAAGTTCTATTAAAATATTTTTACGTGATAAAATTTCAATTTTATAGGAGCATCTTCATGATGCTAATAATATTCATAGTCAAATCACAATTTGTTTATAAATGATTATTTTTGCATTAAATATCAAATATTTGCTAGTATTAACTAAAATCTTGAGTTGAACTTTAGTTAATCTAACTTGAATTAGAATTAGATTAAACGTAATACTTGTAAGTGTTAGATCATGTTCATACAGAAGGTTAAAAACAACTTTTTTTGAACATTTTGTATGTTTTTTAATAAACACTGTTGTTTCCATGAAGATAGATCAAGAGTGGCAAACTATGTAATTTTTTAATGATTTATCTTTTACATTATTTGCCACAAATAATATCGGAACGTTAAAACTGGTGGTGGAAATAAAAAATACAAGATGATATTTGCAAAATTAATGAAGTATATAGGACAAAATACATGAGAGGAAAAAAAAAAAAGGTAGGTAGATGAATCTCATAGAAGATAATCTCAATTGTGGCTGAAGCATTATGAAATTATCTCAAGGTTCGTAATGAATCTAGGACAAAAAACAATAAAGTAATAAAGAGAGGTAGAAAAACAAGCCTCATAGAAGATGGTCAATTGTGGCTAAAGCATTGTGAGAGTGAGTGTAATGCAATTATCCGAGTTGCAACATTGCATACAAAAAGTAAGAGCGATTAAGAGAAAACAAGGGGAGAAGAAAACTGTTTGTACGAGCAATTCTTTACGTGAAATGAAGCAAAAAGATGCGCAACATTGCATACAAAAAGTAAGAGCGATTAAGAGGAAACAAGGGGAGATGAAAAATGTTTGTTCGAGCAATTCTTTACGTGAAATGAAGCAAAAGGATGCGCAAAACTGAACTTGCTAGTTGGTTCGTTGGTTAGGTGCTAGCTAAACTTAATGCTCACTCAACTTTTTGGTCTTTGCTTATTGTCTATTAGTGCTTTCTTATTAATCTCAACTGTGATCTTTAGCTAGCCAATGCGTTGATGTGTAACGTTTTCTTGTCGATAAAAGAGTATTTAGTCTCTATTTTAATCATCATCTTTCTATTAAATTAAAGTGCTTAGATTTTTTTTCTCAATGAAATTTAAGCTTAATTGGGTTATTTTAATAGGGATAAAACTTTGACAAAAATATACATTAATCAAAACTGTATCAAATGACAACACTAGTTTAATGCCTATTATTGTTGCATCTAGAAGTTAGGTGTTTCAAGTGCTAATTTTAGGAAATGCGTTTTTAAGAAGAATTGTTCTTGCATCTAAGTTAAAACCTATCAATGCTAGCAGTAAGCCCAGCGGTAATATTCTTCTAAAGAGAAAGTTTGAGGTTGGACTTTTGAATGTTAAGAAGTAAGTTTGTGTTATCAAAGATGACATGAAAGTTTAAAGAATGAGAAGTGAATGCGGCTTAAAACCTTTTGTGACTTAAAGAAAATATAAGATAGATGATGAAAATACAACAGACAATGCCATCATGTTTGCAGAGAGTGTTGAAGATGAAAATACAAAAGCTTTGCAAAGTGCATAAGACATGTGACATGAAATCGTGATCAAAGTTCAATTTATTTTTTGAAAGTTCACATCATGTGAATTAGAATTAATCTAAAATTATGGTTTCAAATTGATTTTAGTTTCACTGATAACTCCTATAAGAACAATAAACGTTTACATATGAGTAATATGAAAAAACAATATTATCAACAAACTTACACTAAAAATACACAATTTAAAAATAAAAATCATAAATTGTGTTGTGAAAATTTGTTACCATTTGTCTTATAATACAATTATCTAAATTAAAAAATATTTGAAATAGAATTACTGAAATCTTGCTAAGTTTTTGTATATATCATATAAATGTTAACAATTCAAACCGTGCATTTTTTTTCTCATATATTTGTATAAATGCATCTATTTCTTTGATTCTACATCTTATTTGAAAATATCCAATTGTGGTTTATAATTATTATAAATTATTTTTGGTTTGTTATGAATTGTATTATTTGTTAGTTTGAAATTATGATTTCATGCATGCTCTCATATAAAAGCTTAAATTTGTTAGTTTTGATACCAAGTAGTAATTGTTGGTGATATTTTTCATTACAATATCTTATATGAAATTTGGTAAAAAAAATTTAAATGATAAGGGTTTTTGATAATTTCTGGCAAAATTATCAAAAATTTTGCCAGAAATTTTTGGCAAAATTTCATTTATGTCTACAAGGAGTTTACTTTAGTGAATACCGAGTTGTTTAAGTAATTTTGACTCAGTACAATTGTAAGCGTCAAATTGATAAGATAAAATCGACAAAGATTAGTTTAAATGATGTAGATTATTTGCTGAGTAAACCTTGGGAGAAGTCGACTATAAAAAGAATCAATAATTCAAATTGGGTTTTATAATTCAACAAAATTACGATCAAATATAAACGCATAAGTAATATAAATTTAATTTTCTTAATATATTTCAGTATTTTGGAAAAAATAGTATATATTTCAGTATTTTAATTATATTTTATAATCTTATGTTATAATTCAATGAATTCATATTAAGTGTGATATATTTCTATATGGCTTGATAAATTTTTGATTTTAAAATAGTCACTTCTTGAAATTTTATTATGTCGCAAAAGATGCTTCAAAAACAAGAAAAATGAACAAATAATATTATGATATTCTATATGAATAATTATAGCTAGAAATAAATGATATATGCCGTAAAGTGTATTTTGCATTTCTTGAAAAAACATGAAATGTTCACAATTTGTAAGCTTTGTTTTTTTTTAAAGTACATGACTGATAGAAGTTTAAACCATCGATCTTGTATTTGGAAATTATCGTAAATACATTTAAATTTCAAGATTAATTTGTGATAAAATGAAACGATGCTTAGATCATGATATATAAAGTTGAAATTTTATCAATAGACAGATATTTATAGACCAAAACTGAAACACACTCGTAAATGTATTATGCAGATGTGTATGAATTGGCCAAGTCAAAAGCAACTCAATCCTTATAGAAAAAGTATATGGTGTATGAAACACAGAGACGCATTATTCGCTATAACGAGATTTCGATAGATCAAGGACAGGCCAGTAAACAAAGGAAGTGGGCCACTTGCGAGACATGAGGTCACCTGCGGCCTCAGCCACCATACATAAGAACCGAGAGTGGACGGGATCCTATGGACCTCGTGAAGCAATGAGCTCCCAAGAATATAAAGTGATGGCATGGGGCCTGGGGCGTTCACGACCGGTTCGAGTCCCGCACCAAGCGATCGGAAAGAACGGTTCCGACTAATGAGCGTTGCGCTCTAAGGGCGGTGGATCTAATGGCTCCGGCACTGAACCGGTCGCACGCCAGACATTTTAACCCCCGGACCTCGTCCGTGAGATGTCCCCGGCGTCGGAAGGTAGTACCGTTGGCATAATTTCGTGCAGGAGGGCAGTGAATGTCAACCAGAGAGTTGATCGCCTGGCGACCGTCGGATGGACTTTCTCGTCATGATCGCGGACAAGTTCTCGACAAATGTCACGGCTACGCGCTCAGAGAGCGCGGATGCCACGCGTCCTCCACGGAAGCTAGAGACCGGACAGGGCTTATATGATCCACTTCTGCCGACCGGCGGCACCGGAGGGAGGGCCACCCTGATACGGAGGGTTGCGGACTTCGTACCGGAGGGTATACGGTGAGGCGGCAGTGGTGACCAGAGCTGTCCTGGCAGCGGCACCGATGCGCAGTGCTCGATCGAGAGCGCGACCGGTGAGCGTGGTTAGTGGTCACCACTGCAGCACAGGCATCCGCGCAGCTGTACCGTATGCGGATGCACTGCATCGTACCTGGAATGTACTGGCCCGATCTGGAGACGGACTCGGAAGAGCGCAATCGAGAAGGCCCCACCGAGTCGGCCCAAGGGGATGGAAGTGGAGGCCGCTGAAACTCGGGTATCGACGAGGGTGGGAGCCACCGGCGGAGCGCGGCATGGCATGGGACGGGTGCTCGGCCTCGGACCTACCGAGGGGCCGACGTGGTAGACCGTCGCGTTATGGAGGTGAGACCGGGGCCCGGATTTGGCCACAGCGGAGCGCCCTCGGAGCTGCTGGTCTGGCGGCCGAATCCGGGGCTCGCAGGCAGCCTGTCATCCGATGCTGTTGGCGGGCATGCGATGGATATGGTTGGCATGGCATGGCATGCGCACCGTCACCCCCGGGGTCCACGAACATCCCTCGTTTGAATTCGGCCCCCTCGCTCATTCTTCCCGAGCAAGGCAAGGCAAGGCACGGCACGGCACGGCCAGGCCAGGACCGAGCCCAGGCTTCATCCGCTACGCGGGCGGGCTCTGGTCGCCCGTTCGGGTGCGATTTGAGGCCCAGGAGTCTTCATGCTGCTCGGCCGAAACCGCGTGCGCCACAGGGAGGACGGGAGCACTGAGGAGAGCGGAGCACAGGGCGCTCGACGTCGAGCGCGCAGACTTGCTGCCGAAGCGAGAGGAGAGGAGGGCAGAGCAGAGCTGAGCCGTGCCGGGGCGAGCAGGCCGAGCCGGGGCCAGGCCCGCGTCTGCCAAGTTGCGAGCGGGAGGAGCAGAAGCGCTCGAGGTTCCGCTTGGGAGCAGGTAGGCGTAAGGGGGAGGCTGCAGGACTCGGCCCTGGTGCGCTTTTTGACCCATCGCCTTGCGCGGACCATCTTTCCGAGAACCCACTCGACATTGTCCAGTTGTTGTATAGGCCCTCCCGCTTTTTCGAGCCCGGCAGGCCGAGTGACCTCAGAACCCTATCATAGCGCCTGACGTACCTGCAGTAACAATCTTTTTATATGGCCTCGTTCCTTCAAGCCTCATTCCCTGACTCCTGCATGCTCCTTGCCTAGGAGCTCAGCCTGGCATTGATGAGTCAGTTCTCGCAGGTTTCTCTTTCTGTCTCGAGTATGGGGCTTCCAAAGTGAAACATTACAAGTGGCACTGGGCACTCGCTGCAGCATGCTCGAACCGCATTGCCAACATCTGTCTGCGTGGCACTGAGCTCATTTACGAATGGAAAACCTCTGAACACTGAGGATTTATGTGTCCGTGTCGCGGATTGCCTCTTCCGACGAGTCATCTCAGTTCTCGAGGAACGGGACGAGGTTGAGAAGTTGAGAGAGATTAAAGCGTGCTTTGAGGTCATTTTCGAGTTAATTCTGTTTTCTACATCCTCGGGTTCGAACACTGTTTTAGCTGTACCTGGTGCATCAAAAGGGCCACACGTTTTTTGTTACATCAATGGGTCACCGTACCATCTGTGCGGCTTCGTCGCATTCAATTGGGAAATTTTTGAAACCTGGCTGCTCGAGGAGCCATGTTTTATCTTCGTAGCGGGGGTTACGTTCTTATATCTAGGGGTCTCGCGGCGGTTTGCGAGCAAAGGCTTTGAGTGGATTGAAGGCCGGAGTCAATACGAGGTCTGCAATCTGCAATTCGCAGACCGTGTTCACGATTGCTCCAGACAGGTCACTGTGGAATGGAGTGAGGAAGGATTCTTACATCCGTGAGGTTTTCGACGTTGACTGGCCTGGATATAAGACGACCTTAACCGTAAGTACAACAAGGTTCCCGCAAACTGCTGCTCTGTCGTACTTTTATCTTCTTATATATGTTCCACCCTGAGCTTCACACACAGTTACTCACTGAGACTTCTGCTGTCCCTGTAACGTGCGAAAGTAACCTCATAAATCAGATCAGACATGTTAATTGCATCTTGATCTAAAGTAGCCGTCGGATTGGTTTCTCTCAACCAATTATGTACATCTGTAATGGGAAGTGCCTTTTGCCCGCATTGTCTGCTCTAAAGATTGTGATTGAGCCGCTGGAGAGGGAATCGCAATTTGGTGCACGTATTTCAAAGCGTTGTAGAGTCCGAATTTCAAGTCGCTCATAAATCAATTCTCATTACAGTCCAAACAGCAACTCTCTCACTTCCCTGGATTTTCATTACGTTCACTGGTGTCGGGGTAAGCGTTTTTAACAAACAGGAGGCTCCCTTCATCCCCTCTTCGGTGGCGAACGAAAGAGTGTATTCGTTTACATTCATACTCACTCTGCAGAGTATACTGGTTTTGTCACTTGTGTCACGTCATATAGTTCTTTAGGTGTTTACGCACTTGGTATTGTGAATTTTAGTTAGGTTTCAGCAATTGAACATCAGTGACGAGTACTGTACTTCTTGACCAGCATCTTCATGAATCAGAAAACATATGCTTTCGCTTTTGAGATTAAGAAAGTACTAACACAGTAAACCGTAGTAAGATTTTGATTCTTGAAATCTATGAGCTTGCTGGTCTTCGAGCGAAAGAAGCTGGATGCTAATTTTTATAGCTTGTCATGTGGTACGCACAAATCCGGCGTCAATTTACTTATTTCTGAATACTTCTGTGACTCACAAGGTCGAGGAGTTGCATACGTGTTCTCCGTTGTAATCTAAGAAATCATATTTCGGATTGTACCAACAGGACGTCAACGATGATTGCGAAGTTAGTATAGAGTTACAGCTGTCGAATACATACTTTATCCAATGAATGCTATTTCCTCACAGCGGTCCTTCTGGGGCCATGAACCAGCAGAGCTTCTACTCTGGCAAGATTGAAGCAACCTAGGCTGCTCTGTACTTACTGCAAGTGTGCTAACTTGAGCGAAATACAGTCACATTCCGCAGTACTCTTTTCTTCATACATCAATCTTACTTGGAAGTATCCATGTTTTCAACAGGTCAGGACATGGGCGAGAAAGACTTGAGATACAAAAGTTCAGGATCTTGTGCAGGAGACTGGTGCGACGTGAGTATGAAGTGCCGCTGTCGTTGGCGATGGGGAACTCCGGGATTCTGTTCAAGGTGCCATGACAAATCGCAGCATCGTACCTGTTTTCTGTCTTCGACATTTATTTTCTTCTTAACTTCGATTCTGGTCCTCGGAGCATTCGGAAAACTCTTTGCTTGGTTAACTTTTGCTCCCTTCGAGCATGAGAAGTACGCCTATGGAGCAGGATGTCAGCCTGACAATGAAGGGTCGTGGGCTATTGGCTTCTACCGGGGGTCTTCCCCCTTCTCCTTGAGGCCTACCGAGCTGGTATGTCTATTCACCGCCGGATACTCTTACGTAGTCCTCTGCTGAATTCACTTTTGTTGTAGTTTACTCTGGATGAGAAGCTTTAAAGTCTGGGGATATTAGCCTGGGAGAGCCGTAACCTGCAGTCTTAAGAGCAGTCTCTGTAGTGAGGTGACATATCCAATGGACATAATTTGTCTATCTCCATGGCCATTTTTGTTGTACCCCTGACTTTTCTATTTTGCACAAGATGTGTGAGTTTCTGGCCATTGGATGTCCTGTTTCTGAAGCATTCTAGTGTTTGTCACTTGTTTGTACAGGAAGGTTTGCAGAGCGATAAGGGATCTGCTTGGCCTGTCGCTAATCCAATCTTGACTTGTGCGTCAATCAAAGACCCGAACAATCCCAGCAATTTTGTGGCCGATCCATTTCTCTTCTCACAGGTACGTCATGAAACAAGGACTACTTCAAGGTGTAACTTCGAATTGGGGTCCATTTTGTCGAACAGTGTTGCATGAACACCTTCTATCTCGGTAAAATCTCTGATAGGACTTTAATCGGTTCATGTCCAGGGAACGAATTTGTTTGTTTTTTTTGAAACAAAGAATACTCTTACACTCCAAGGCGACATAGGAGTTGCAAAAAGCGAGGACCAAGGAGCAACTTGGCATTTTGTTGGTATTGCTCTTGATGAAGATTGGCACCTGTCGTACCCCTTTGTTTTCGAGCATCAGGGAAAGGTAAGCGAAGTCTAATAACTTTCTTGAATGATTAGAAGGACTTTCAAGAAGGACTGGGATTCAAGTCTGCAGTAGTACGATTGTAGCTAGTATGTAGCGGTGACGTTGTTCCCTTCTTTGCTGGAGAGCAAGAACAGTACAACATTAGGAGCAAACCGGTGTGATTATAGTTGAGGAGAGTTTATCTCCGTGCTTTCTGAACGTTTGTAAGGTGGGATGTGAGCAGATCTATATGATGCCTGAAGGCAGCAAGAAAGGAGATTTGAGGCTTTACCACGCCACCAACTTTCCTTTACAATGGTCTCTCGTGAAGGTTATCATCAGAAGACCTCTTGTAGATGCATCAATGGTGGAGTTTGACGGGTTGTTCTGGATTTTCGGATCAGATTCCTCCCGTTATGGTGCAGTCAAGAACGGGGAACTGGAAATATGGTATGCAAGTTCCCCTCTCGGTCCTTGGAAGCCTCACATACGGAATCCAGTTCATAACGTTCACAAAAGCTTTGGAGCTCGGAGTGCCGGAAGGCCCTTCATTTGGGAAGGGAAGTTATACCGACTGGGTCAAGACTGTGGAGACACTTACGGAAAGCGTGTGCGTGCATTCCAGGTTGAGATACTGACACCCTCTAAATTTCAGGAAGTGGAAGTTCCTCTTGGAATTATTGAACCATCCTGGAAGAAGGGCCGGTATGCATGGAACGGTGTGCGTCATCACCACTTGGATGTCATGAGGCTTTCATCCGGTGACTGGATTGCTGTTATGGACGGAGACAGGGTTCCATCGGGTGATAGGTCTGCACGAATTGCTTTGGGTTCTATTGGCTTGTTAATTCTGATCACCTTGACCTTTTTTGTGGGTTTACTATACGGTTTTGTGCGGTGTGGGGAACCCACTAGCCGGCCCCATAATGCCAAAAAGGGCGAAACTCCTGTTGTTTGGGCTCGTCCTCAGCTCATCTCTCCAATGTACAGGGCCGTGGCTCGATTGAAGAGAAGTGGTTCAACTATCAAGGGGAGAGTTCGAGCAAGGTCCTGCATGGGATGCTCCCTTATAATCTTTAGCCTGATTGTAGGAATAGCGTTTGTTTGTCTGGTTGTCAGCTGCCTTTTTGGGGGTAATGGTGTTGAGGAGCCATACGCAGTGGAGGGTCAGTTTTCCCAGTTTACAATGGTGACTATGACGTATGCTGATCGTTTGTGGAACCTGCGGATGTTCGTCAAACACTACTCTCGATGTGCCTCAGTGCGGGAAATTGTTGTCGTGTGGAATAAGGGTGTACCTCCCAATCCTCTCAGAGACTTTGATTCCGCAGTGCCTGTCCGCATAAGGGTGGAGCCCATAAATTCCCTGAACAATCGTTTCAGACTTGATCCACTCATCAAAACAAGGGCGGTCCTTGAGCTTGATGATGACATTATGATGACTTGTGACGATGTCGAAAGAGGATTCAAGGCATGGAGGGAGAGGCCTGAAAGACTTGTGGGTTTCTATCCCCGTCTTGTTGAGGGAAGGCCCCTCGAGTATCGCAACGAGAGGTTCGCTCGCAGTCGAGCCGGTTACAACATGATACTTACGGGAGCAGCGTTCATGGACATCGATATGGCCTTTCCTCTGTACTGGTCAGATGAAAATGAAAAGGGACGAGCTATAGTGGATGAACTTTTTAATTGCGAAGACATCTTGATGAACTTCATTCTTGGGAATCGAACAGAATCTCAACCTGTGGAGTACGTGCACCCATCCTGGGCACTTGACACCTCCAAGTTATCAAATGCGGCTATCAGCCGGGATACGAAGGTCCACTACAACAAGAGGACCTATTGTTTGTTGAGATTTTCTCAACTATATGGGAAGCTACCTTTGAAGAAGGTTGAGTTTCACAGTCGTGCAGATGGATGGGACTACTGATGGATCAAAGTATGGAAGCAGGTAGTCCAAGCAACGGAGCTAGTCAACATTGCGGTTCAACCTTATTCTTCGGCTACAAACAGAATCACCTTCCGCTCGGACAGTCACAGGACCTGATATGATTCGATTTTCCTCCTTGTTTCAGTATCGGATTCAATGTAGCACATGAGCAAATAGGACATCTCGAAACTGGGATGGTGGTTTTCGACGTCTGGAGGCAGGAGCTAGTTCTGATCTTGGCATAGCTTGTGAAGCATGCTGCAGTGAGGAGCTAAAGAAGGCTCTAACAATAGTCTCCGATATTCTGCTAGACTAGCTGCTGCTCCCGATGCCTAATGGCAGATGGCCTGTTCATCGCACCACATTGTGATCTCTCAAACTACTCTCTGTCTGACCTTACAGAACTAACCGGTTGACTAAATATTTGTGGTGTAATACTTTCTGCGGAAACAGTACACGGCAGGTAGCTGGGAGGATGGATTTTTCCTGGGTGGCTTCTCTCTACAAATGGCCTTGGCCAGAAAGAAAACTGATCTGCGTTTCAGTCACTTGCAGAGTCTCCTGAAGGAATGTCGCCTGTGACAATCGAATTACATCACGAGGCCCACAGTTCTGTTCGGTCTGAACTGAACCGAATCATGCATGCAATCCATGAACAGAGTCCGGTGGAATTCAGGTTCGACTTGCAATTTTGATCGGTGGTCAGTCCCAGAGATAGTTTGGAGGGGTGTACGAAGGATGTTAACCGTTCGTCTCTTTCCAGTGCATCATTGATGTTCGAAGATAATTCAAACTAAGAGAGATCATAAGTTGTGAAGATTCTGGCTAGGATTGATGGTAATTTCCCAGCGTGAAGAATATTGGAAAGATCCGTTCTAGTGGAAGGGTTAAACTTCATTATGTTGTACAGAACTCGATGCTGTAGAGAGCAAATGGTATTATTACACACTGTAGCATTCAAGTGAATGCATGAAGGTCTTGCAGTTGCGTAGATGTACATCTTGTAAAAAGGATTTTGACAACGAAGTAGACGTGTTAGTTGTATCCAAGGAGGCAATGAGAGGCAATGAACAGGAATGGTGGTAACGAGGTGTGTATGCTGTCCATTGATTTCTGGAATAAATCATTACGGTATTCACATTGTTGATAATTTGAGATTGAGTGCAAAAGTCGGGGCAGTGTTATGGATGGTCGCAAATGAGTAAGAAAGGAAGTTGGCTGTGAATCAACCCGTGAAATACTGAAGGCCGCTAAGTACTCTATCACTGTGTATAGCTCAACAACACCATATGCATAGCGCTGTCTGTGTAGTGAGGAGGTTGTGTGTTCGAGTGATGTTTTATTGTTATAGATCTATGCTTCGCAATTCTGTTTTCCGTGCAGGATTGCATTCTATCCACCACAACGGGACGCAACTTCCGGTATTACTCACGGTGTCGAATTTAGACAGCCCAAAAACCAGAAACTCTGCACACTTGTGACAATGTCTGTCACATTCGATCGTTCTGCGATCGCAGAACATTGGGTACCATCCAGTACAACGAAACTTAAGCAATTTAGGTTCCGATCGGGTCAATTCAAATACATCTGGTAAGTATTATGTTCGATTTCATTTTTTTATGTATTTTGATTTTGAGATTTATCTGTTAAGAAAGCTAGAAGTGATATCTACGTTTGTAAGTTGTTAATACTATCAGATTGATCTTACATTTCTAAAAAAATTTGATAAATAGACTATCACATTAACTCTTTGAAGCTTGAAGCCGTAATTTGCAGAGTTGAGACTTGAATCGTTTGCCAAAGGAACTTGACATGAAAACGTGTTGTACAAATATCTGATGTAGTATATTTTCAAACATCAAAGAATATACTACATCATTATTACGTATAAACACATCCAAAAATTATTCTTTTGATTGTTCATGTTAAAAATGGACTGCAGCTTAAATAGTAGAAATGAAGTAATTTTTTGTTAGAATTGGGTTAACTAGTGTTATAGTAATAAATTTTGTAAGACATTTTGCAGTGTCGAATCAAAATCTAAACAATAAACATATAATTTTATCTGTATACTATGATATGATGTTTTTCACAATTAATTCCATGCATTATTTTCATGAATCAAATAGTACTTTTTATTCATTCAATTAAACCATATAAATAAAGAAAAGACTGGAAACTATAGTTAACTTATATCTGAACTGAATGTAACTATCAGGCATTATATTTAGGGTTACATAAATACGTACAATTCCAACCGGTAACAATGATAAGATTTTGAAACTCTATCTAAAGAATGGTACGGAATCTATCAAACTCGTCATCCAATACTTTATTTCGTAAGAAAAACATGTTTATCAAATTGAAAAAATATATAAAGCTACACATTTCCTCAGTATATACACAAGTAGGCCATGGTAATTGTTGAGAATGGTGGTTTGTGATACAACATTCCACATATTAATCCACGATACATACATAAGTCGACCAAGTGATTGGTTATTCTTGGAAATGATAATTTGTGATACAATATTCCGCATATTCAGTTCATGGGATCATTTGTCACACAAGTTAGCAACAAATGGTTTGGTTTACAAACTGTAGGCGTATCCTCCCTGTATACTGCCTAAACGCAGCATTTACGAAAACGTCCCCCCACAAAAACTGGATAATGCCCACACTTCCTCAGAACATGAGATAGGAAAAATCGGCAACACCAACTGGCGAAGATAAAGCAAAACATACTTGCACTCTTCGATACACATTCCCCGCTTCTTTCTCGTTGGGGAATTGAATGGCAAATTTTGGATAAGACGCTAATTTGTGATCTCTGTGGTATATTAGCTCATCGGCAACAAACTCTCCACAAACTGGCGAAATCCCGATACAATCCTGTATCCTTCCTCAAATCGAGACCTCCTTCTCTGCTATATTCCGGCAACCCATATGAGAGGTACATTTCCTTCGATCTGCCTAGTAGTAGTCAATCCCTACAAATTATACAACCTACGGTGAGGTCTACGAGTCACAAGGATCGTATAAAACCTGTTCCATGCACAACTAAGCGACAGCTTCTAGTCCCCACTTGCACACCCTCTGCAACCACAATGTACGCATTCAATCACCTTCTCCTCGCGCAAATGCTTAGGAACACGACAAACGCATGTCGTGTTGAAATTGTGGTCCCGGGGCTGTATGCATCTCAGGCAGCAAAGCTTCTCGTAACCAGCCTGTGATCCCACGCAGTATTTGAGTTTCAATGAATCGACATGATCGATCCTGCTAGTATGCGTGAGCAAACAAAGATTACCATGACATGGGTTTAAAGATCTCAATAAACCGACTCGGAGCTCGACAAACACTGGCAACGTGAATACCTTTTTCCACTTGGCAATCAGGCTTTTGTCGGCATACCCCTGATCTAAGCAAAACTCGAAGAGCTCCTTCGAAATGGCCTTCCGTCGATAATAAAGATCATAGATATATCTCGTCTTCTGGTGAGAGATTTTGAAAATAGGCCACAGTGCCTCGCACTTTCTCTTCCCCTCGTGAGATTCGTTCTCAGCTGAAAGCAACAAAGATAATCAGCAAATTGTGATAAAAATGCCGATAACTGGGTGAAAACAAGACACCTGCTGATGACTTGATGCTCCAGAGAGAGACCAGGAAATCGAAAAAAACCCTAAAAAGCATCATACCTTCGCGCATTTTCATGTCCAAGTCACGAAGGGTAGGTTCGATGAGTTCCCATCCTTGCGGGTAGCGCGTGCGATTTGTGCGAACTTTTGGCATGGTGCTTTCACCAGCAATCTCTCTGATAAGTCTGTTTCTAGACGGCCATGAGTTCCTGGATCTGCGAACACACCGAACGGCCACCGGAGACAGGCACAAACATCAGCTGTATGTAGTAATCGCCAGATTTCCCCACACCATGAATCCAGATGTGAAACTACTCGAATGGCTCACAATTACAGTGGCCTCGACCCCCCGACGTCCGCACACAACCCCCAACCAAAGTCAACAAGGTCATTCACACCTTCTCTTCCAAATGGCCGGAAATTGCGCGCTTCTGATTTTCCCACAATCGCGTTCGAGTCGCTCTCGGTCCGATTTGGCACGAACGATGAACACAGCGTCGAGGCAAGTCCGGCAAGCCTTCGTCTTCGTCAACGAGCTCAATTGGCAACGGTAACAGATTTTGAAAATATAAATACAACCCAGGCCTGTACTTGCCAGTTTGTAAGGTAGAATGAAAGGAAGGAAACCATGAGACCTAGTTTGAGAGAAGTGTTCACTCTCGTAAATGCCCAAAGAATAGAATCCTTTCAGTGGGAAAGAAACATGATCCTGTATCTAAACTTAAGCTCGAATTACAAAATATGGTTGCATCTGAAAAGTGACTTGATATTCGACAAGAACACTGTCCTTCGAAGTAGTTCCTACGGATTACTTGGAGGAGACTCTATGTCCGACACACTTCCAAGTAACCCCCTGCCCCCCATGAAACCCATGTCCTTTGTAGTTAATTTCTTGGATTTGCCTTCTCCATCCATCCACATCTGCCACGTGATTTTGACAAAGTCTATCTATACAGCATCATCATGCGTGAAAATTGGCATGCATTTGAGTCATGGGAGTTTGAAGCATGTATTTTCGGTTTCCAAATCAAATGTTCTCCTCCAGATTTATTCATTTTTTTCATCACGAATATCATCTATAAGTAAAATAGATCCATTTTATTTAGATGCAAATATCAGAAAAGTGAAGTAGAATTTGATAAATTGATGTCGATCTTCACACTGACTTTCGTCTACCTTGCTTTGAAAACTTAGACATATTTTTACTCTCAGAATAATTTGGCCTGATGTGGATTTGAGATTTGAGATTTGATATAGATGATCAAGAATATCTGCTCATTTTAAGGAATAAAAATAAATGCAATGTTGTGTAGTGAAAACTAACAGTTGAAAAGAAGTGTATATACCTGAATGATATATTTTGTCTTCACATGGAATTTTTTCCTTTAAGATGACAAATTAAGTGATGATATGTATCTCAGTCTTTTTACATTTAGACAGATTATTGTCATCAAATGACCAGATAGTTGACATGATTGTGGTTGAGATGCTATAAAGAGTAAAGTTTTCACTAGAATTTTTTATTCTTGCTTCTAAGAATGGAAAAGACAGTTAGGGATCATAATCGAATATTTAAAATTTGAGAAAAAAATAGAATGGTGTTTTTGAATTATTTGAAAACAATCATGTGGGATCAAAAGGTTGAAGTTGAAAGATGCACAAGGTATGAAGAGAATGATTCAATTAGATATATATTCATAATTGATGTGCATTTGATGTTGATATTTCTAAATCCTTCAAATACTGTTAAAGTCAAACTGCAATGAAGTATATTAAAAACATCTATTAATTATGAATCTTATTTAGGCATGAATTCTGAAAAATATTTATGAAACTATACAAAAAGATAGTACTAAATTATTTATGTTTATATTTAACCGTTAGAAAAGCGAAACCTGAATAAATTTTTATTTTAATAGATTTAATCTTAAATAAATATTAAAAAATTTAATTTAAATATGAAAAAATGTGAACTAATATGAAATTATTTGAGTTTATATGTATTATAGTAGTTGTTAATATAATCTTTAAGATTTAAGTTTAGATTCAATATTTCAAAATAAATATGATGATTTTCTATATAATTTAAAATTTTTAAATTTATGCTAATATTTAATTAAATGTTAAATTTGTTAGAAAAATTTAATTTTGTTATAACTTAAAAAAAATCAAAAGTTTTTATCTTTTTGAAGAAGAATTGAGCAAGATAGATGCGTATGATAAATTGAATTCAATAGATCCAAAAATTTGTGTATTGAAATAAATTGTTTCTTAAATCTTAGAAATAATTAAAAATATTATTATATCATATATTCTAGAAATAATTACAAAATTATTAACAATAAATCTATATCATGTACTTTTTCACTCTATGATTTTCAAGAAACATCAAGTATTTAAGTTTGTAAAATTACTTTAAAATATATATCCAAGTAATATATTTTTCCCGTAATATAATAAAATTTTAGTAATGGGAAAAAGCTATTTAGTAAAAATCTTATATGAAAAATTAAATAAAATTAGCTTGCTTTCAATATACATTCTCAGGAGCTTTATAAATCTTACTGCAATTTTTGGATTTTAATTCACAATTTTGAATCAATCTTCATTATTTTCTTGTATAATGATTAATTTTTTTAAATTTATGATAAAATGGATCATGAGATTAAGAAGAAAAATTAAATGAATTTCACATAAAAGTTTAAAAATTAAAGGAAATTTGAAAATTTCAAATATATTATTCAATTATTTTATTAAATTCAAAAATTCAATAACATATGAGTTGTATTTTAAGTTTATTATTTTACATACTTTCACAAGGAGAAAATATTCACAAGCATACAAGTACTAAAACATCAACAATCAAGTACGTTGTTTGTCATTGCCAACTAGTTTCAGATTTGCAAAGATAAAGATGATTGGTAAATAATTCTAAAATGTTTCATGAAAGCTTTAGTTAGCTCTATTTTACAGCGTGCATACTAACCAGTATTAATTACCCAATTAAAAAAAAAACTAAGTTAACCAACTAGTACATGGTAAGAAAATCTTCTTAAATCATATATATACTTTTTTGCTTTTTTTACTAAAAAAAAGTCTAACATAGGCCTAGAGAATTGAGCATGCTTAGCTTAATCATGAATACATTTATCTAATTATGACTAAGTTTAAAATCAAAACTTGGCAAAATAATTAGAATAAATTTAGAAATTGTGATTGAGCATTAATTTTTTGTTTATCATTAAATTGAAATTTTTTATAGAAAAAATATGTAGACTACATGTCCACTTTGATGGATTTGATTATGTAGTATAATTTTCAAGTCTAAGATTTGACTTATTGGCAAGTGGAAGTTTTGAAAATTTAAAGTTCTTCAGTACATGTCGCCAACTCTCCCTAGGAACAAATTTTTTTTAGAAGGTTCAATTGGGCAAATGACATGTTGAAAATTAGTGATAGATATCAAGTAAATATAACATAGATTATAACAACCAAAAGTATCTATAATAATATGTCGTGCGAATACATATCGCCATACACTCTACATCGCTGACAGAAATAGACGAGAGATTCCCCACTGGAATTCCCGTCGGTCAATTACCCTACTGGCAACAAACCGTCACCGTCACAAACATGAGTCAAGCCCAACCCACTCCACACTCGGAGAATCCAGGTCGACGCAAAAGGGAAAGTCACTCTACGCTCCCAACGCTTCCAGGCTCGACTCGAAGAACTGACGTTCTTCGAGCCGTCCCCGACTCTATACCCCTCGTGACTGGAACCCTAACTTTACGGCTAAATATAGTAAGTGTCTGAACTTCGTGAGTGAGAGAGGTATCGTCGGCAGACATGTTCCCCTCCAACAAGTCATCGGGCCAGGTAAGCACTCCGCTAAAACCCGCAACAGATGCCAAGACCGCTGATGAAGATCCAAGAGGTCGATCCCGAGAAATAAATCTCACTGGCAGCTCGCTCAGACGTCCATCTCCGGACTGCCAACCAGGACGATATGCGGCAGTCTCCGTCCAATAGTCCATCCACAAACGTGCACGATGCGCCCGTGATCCAACCCTCGCAGCATCCAACAGTACTGCTGATCCAATCCATGCTCGGACTTGATGGACACTCGCCATCAACTGGGCCCGAGTGTCACCCAACAATGGTACGTTCTCCAGAATGTATGCTGGAGAACGTGTCTGCTGCACTTGGAGATGACGTAACACTCGCATCATCTCCCAAAACATCCGAGATCTGGGATCATGCAACCCTGTCCCATGTCCAGCGCGTGTGTGTCCCTGACATGGCCAGCCCGCAATCACCATATCAATATGGCCAACGCGGTCAAGGTCTGGCGCCCCCAGCAACGAAATGTCTGAAGGCAACGCCTTCTGGAATCCTCGGACAGCTGATCGCGGCAACAACGAAGGAAAACGCCGCATCAACTGTGCAACATGTCGTGAAGAGACTCGACGTGCAGTCTCGTCCTTCTCCACATATAAGTATCTCCGTACGAGAATACCTGACTGCAACACTGCAGCCAAACCTGTGCTGATTCCACCAAAAAGATCCAGCATACAAACGCCCTCTGAGGAATACTCCCATGCAATAGGTGTAGTCACCAATGGAGACAATGCGCTAGAACCACTAACGAGCCAATCAGCTGAAGCCCTGTCTGGCTCTGCTGGTAAAGAGGCTTCACTCCAAGCCTTTTTCACCAACCTATCAGCCTCCAACTGTAGTGCCTGTAGGCCGCTGTGAAACTCACAACCTCCTCCACATCTTCGTAGAGTGAGGTATCGTCGGCAGACATGTTCCCCTCCAACAAGTCATCGGGCCAGGTAAGCACTCCGCTAAAACCCGCAACAGATGCCAAGACCGCTGATGAAGATCCAAGAGGTCGATCCCGAGAAATAAATCTCACTGGCAGCTCGCTCAGACGTCCATCTCCGGACTGCCAACCAGGACGATATGCGGCAGTCTCCGTCCAATAGTCCATCCGAAAGCCCATCGGGTATAACACCACTCCACCAACAAGCACATCATATGACTCTGCTGATGTAACCACAGCACGAACTCCAAACTGCGAGCTATCATGAGGGTGATCATGCCTCAACTGCACCGCTATGCTCTCTCTGGTCATAAAGTAAGACCTGTTGCTGGCGCCACCAAGGGATGTCTGGATCTGGAATGGGCAAGGTTCCAACTCTGACCTCCGAATGCCCAAACTAATGCATGCAGCCTTGCCCAACATCAAGGGCTGTGCACCAGAATCCAACAAAACTCTGGCTGGGACATACACCTGTCCAGTAGAACTCACTAACCGAAATAGACCACTTCGGTTGTCCACCATACACACACCAGGAACAATACTCTCGCGATCAATGGCTGGGCGAGCTGGTAAGGATTCCATCCTCGCCGCTGCGGCCTGCCAAGTCGTCTCCTCGAACAATGCAGACGTTGAGGATGGGTCCTCAACTGTATCCTCACGTATTTCGGCACTCGTAGCAGCGACTCTCCCATGCTCACACGACGTGGCTGCTACCCGAAATACTCGAGCCAAATCAATACCAGAGTCTATCAACTCCGTGGCTGAAAACAATGGAGATCGCAAGACTGAAGTGGCCATCCGCATCACTGCACTAGATGGCACGTCTGCGTTCACAACAGATGATGTAAGAACCTCAGTTCTCACTCTGGTGTCACTAGGCGGTGCAGGTCTCATAGATGAACTGCTACCTACCTCTGACAACA